CCGGGGCTGAGGGCCGCCCTGCGGGCCCCGCTCGGGCGAGGGGCGCCCGGCGCCCACGCGGCCCCGCTGTGGGAAGAGGGGACGTAAGGCCGCTCCTGGCGCTTCCTCGGGCTGTAGCAGGTCAACGGCACCAAGCTGAAGCCGTTCCCGGGCGTTCCCCGCACCCTGCCGCGCGCTCAGTGGGTTGTGCTTTGGTCTCACCGCTCTGCGTTTGGTCCCACGCTCTGCCAGGCTTTCCCTCCAGACAGGCCTGCTTTGGCACCTCTGGTTGCTGTGCACGTTTGGGGAGGGTCAGCTGAAAAAGGGAGTGATGAATTTGCCTCAGCCAAGGCTCTCCTTGCAGGGTAAATTTGAAAGACCTGCTTTTAGATTGATGTTTTTTTCTCTCTCTGACTGGTTACATGCTCAACATACTTTTCCATGCCAGCATAGCTGTGACTGCTTCTGGCCTCAGCTGACCTAAGTCCTTGGGGTAGAAAGTAAACTTCAGCAGGTAGATCTGATCGGAGAAGGGCACTGAGGTGTTCTTGGAGTTTGCTGTTACGCCGGGCAAATAAACGCCCCTGAGCACGGGGCGCTGCGCCGAGCACGGAGCTCTCAGCGACGATGGGAGCACCCCGGCACGCCAAGCTCCCGAGTGCAGCACGAGCCCCAGGAGCAAGGCAAAGGGAAGGAGGGAAACCCCCGGCAAAGCCCTCAAAGCAGCGTGCCCAGGGGCGCATCCCGGAGCTGCCTGGATGTGGCTGGGATTGCGGAGGCCTCCGAGGACGCCGGCGCGGGCTGCGGAGGCTCCGTATTGCAGTGCAGGGAATGACTTTGGTAAAGCAATTCGCGAGCCCACATGCGGGCCCAGCTGCTGACTGCAGCGTCTGAGTCATAAGTCCTGGGCAGGAGATTTCTTCTCTTCTTCCTTTCCTGCTTCTTTCCTTTCCCTGCCTCCCCTCAGCCATTTAAACGGCTCCTCGTATATTAGCTATAGAAATGCAAAAGTGCAACTTTAGGAAATTCCTGTGCCTCATCAGCACTGCCGAGGAGCTCCGTTTCTCCCACAGGACCCAAGTCGTCAGTGCAGCTGCCAGAACACGAGCTCCCGCTGTGCTGTTCGCCTCAATGCGCACAGTGTGATTTGCAGCACTGCCCTTAGCTCTGGCTTTGCGCAGGGGAGAGCAACATCCCTGGAAAAGGCACCTTGGAAGGGTCTGGGAATATCTCAGCCCTTTGAGAGCCTACGCTGCCGCCCCTGCTCCATGTGGACCTGATTTCAGGGATAAAAACAAGACACAGGAGAACCTCCCTGTAAAGGCAGCCGAGGTCTCACTGCCCGCCCTGAACCACCATCTCGGCGTGTGGAAATCACACGGATAAAACATGAGGGCTCCATAAGCGGCAGCTGCCTAACGAGTTCCCGTGCATCAGCAAAGCTTTTGTAGCTGCTCACAGAGCGTGGGCAGCGGCTGCTGCGGGCGGCCTCACCCGCCGTGCTTCATCCTGCGGCATCAGGGCGAGCGCAGGAAGAGCCCGGGCAGCAGGGACAGCCCCGGCCATAGGCAGTGGCTTGTGGTGCTGCTTTGGAGCCTGCACCTTTGGGCTAGGAAATGAAAACACGCAGAGCCTGTCCAAATCCTGGCAGCCCTTCCTCTCCCAGCCTTCCCGACTGTTCCGAGGCGCAGTGAGTTTGCAGGAATTCTCCCCCAGCGGGTCGTTAGTTACTGATGTTATTATTGGTACTGTGAGAGCCCCCCGGGGTCCTCCCCGCAGCCAGACCCCTTGTGCCAGGAAGGGAAACACAGCAAGGGCTTCGCAACCATCAAACGTGCAGAAACCAGAAACCCCCGTCAGCAGCGAGGGCCCCGTTTGGGCAGACGCTGCCCACGCGTGTCACTGGAGGAGCAGTCCAGCTCTCACAGGGTTTGTGGTTTCAATAAAATACGCTGGAAGGGAGCTGCCCTTGGAAGAAAGGAAAAGAGCCTTGGTCCCTCCTCCACACAAGAGCATTGCCTGCAGTGAGGAGAGCAGTAAGGCCCATCGGGGAGATCCTCAAAGCAGGAGCGGTTCCCAAAGCCGTAGCTGGGTTCTTCCAGATGCTGTGAAATATTCACACCTTGGGGGAGGATTAGCTTTATTTCTTGACAGCCACAAGGGAGGCTCCTCCCTAGACACGGTCATGAAGAGCGAGACGCAGCTCCTTATTTTCAGACATCGTCTTCCTGCCCCCGTGTCTCTCCGACTCGCCTTACATGGTGCTGGTTGCAGTAGGATGAACCTCCCCGCATCTTCAGCTGGGTGAGAAGCCAGTTGAGCCCTGTGTGACCAAGCAGCCCCGAGGCCTGCAGCCTTACCATAAAGGAAGGTCAGCCCAGTGCTGAGCGAGGGCAGAGGAACTGAAACAGCTTCTTACTCCTAAAATAGATCCAGGGTCCCAGAGTGCCCCAGAACGATCCTCACAACTGGTGATCTTCTCCAGTCTCAGTCTCTTTTTCCATATGGAGGCTGACGGGGGCTACTCTACAAGGGAAACAAACGTCGTCTTTTTGGTGCTCCAGTGCCTGGTTTCCCAGGCAGCTTCTGCCCTGCTGGAAAGGTCCCGTGGAAACAGCTATTAAATGCAGCTTGCCTGGCTTCACGCTTGCAAAGGCAACGGGGCAGGCCCTGCTGCACGAGCAAGCACGAAACGCAGAAAAGGCCTTTGCTTGAAAACTGGTTTCGCTTCCAGTAATCGGGAGAAGGGGGAATAAAGCGGTGAAAAACATACGTTGGCGAGCGCAGTTCTGAGCACCCCGCTGCCGGCGGGAGAACGTCCGGCCTCCTCCAGGCGGGAGCAGCCGCCCTCGCGCCGGGATCTGCGGCGTCGCCGCCTCCGGCGCAGGACACGTCGGCACCGGAGGCTCCTCTGCAGAGTCCCTCTGGGCAGGCCTTGCTCTGGTGCTGGAGTTCATTTAGGAAACTGAAAATCACTGAAAAAGAGAATTACTGCCAAACGCTGACCTTTATTTTCACCCAAAGACACAAATCAGCTATGTGAGACAAACAATTTCCCTCCCTTTTTCTGTCTCCTTTTTTTCTTCTCCCTGTCTACCAAATAAATATTTCAAAATAATAAACATGAGCTCAGCCCTGAGCCTGGAAGGAAACACACATGGGAAAGGAATCATTCACAATACCAACAGTTCAACATTATTGCAGTAGAAACATATGAATATAGTCAAAAGTGAAACATATAAATATATTCAAAGGTTTCATTTTACAAGATGGGAAGTGCAACAAGTCATTTAACAACCCAAAATGTTAGAAACCGCTGTGGAGCAGATGGAGGCCACCACCAGCCGGGTTGCAATGCAACCCTGCAGGGAGCAGTTTAACACCACTGGAGAGATCAGTGAATGGCGCAAAAAAAACAAGAAAAATAAGGCAGTGTACAAAGTGGCTTCGTATTTAAAATCCTTAAAAACGCTGTTCGATGCTTGTATGAAAGCAAAGGGAAGACGGAAGGGGCTGGGAAGGGAAGACTTGGAGAGGGGAAGCCGCCCACAAGCCAGCTGGGAAAAACAGTCTAAATTGCAGCATTCCAGAATCGCTAATAAAGCACTAAATAAAAAAGAGAACTGTATAAAAATGCATAATCCGGCGCTTCTCAGCAACTCCCTCCTGCGCTGGCAGCTCCTTGGGTAAAGATTTTTCCTATTTTCTTTGCTGAACTGAGTGAAACCAGGCAAAGACCAAGGCTGGCACCGAGCACAAGCGCGGGCAGCTCGCGGTTCCCTCCGCCTGCCCCGAGGCCGGGGACGGGGCTCGCGCGAAGCCGCCGCTCGCTCCTTCCTCACGCAGTGAAGCGAGTGGAGCCACACGGCCGCAC